CTGCGCAAGAGCGGCCGGGCGCCATGCAAGAGCGGCCGGGCGCGGCGCCGCGTGGCAGGAGAACGGCCGCAGACACGTGTCAGGGGCAGAAAAATGGCCGCGGACCATGTGTCAGGGTGGAAAAATGACCATACCCCGAGGCGGAGTTCGCACATCGAGGTAAATTTTTGCGGCCGGAGCTGGTCGTAATCCGAAAAGTTCGTTAGTAGAGGTGTTCGTATCCCGAGGTACCACTGTATAGACGTTTAAGCTGTATGCTGAGAATAGGGCTTTACTGAGGTGTTTGCAAAAATGGCATAAAAAAATTAAAAATCTCATCAGATTTTAAAATCTGGCCTTCACGAAGAACTAAAAGTAAGACCATCAAACCAGTATGGAAATAGTTGCTGAACAGCTAATGCAGAAATCTGAAAGCTCTCCTAAACTGGACAGGTAAGCAGTTCCTTGGTGCATCTTGCTAGAGAGGAAATACTACAGGGAAGGAGAGAAACTGGTGTATTTGCTAGGATCAGCACAGGTGTCTGATGTGATTTCTTAGACTTCTTCTAGCTGTCCAGATAGTCATCTGGATCATCTTGGCCAGTCACATTTCTCCAATCTTTGGGCTTCAAAAAAAGTACAATTGGCCAATGTATGAATTATTGATGAGAAAAGGCTGCCTTCCTGCTCTCGAGCTTAGAAGTCATAATTACCAAATTATGTTCAAGAAAAGTCAGAAACTACAAGCTTTTTACCAAGAACAGTCTTCATCATATGTGGACACCTGTCTTGTCCCTATATACACCTAAAGCCTTCCACACTTACTCAAAATCTACTTTTCCAGGGTTAAAGAATCCTCTGGAACAGTGGATTATTTAACCAGTGATTGATTTGACAATACTGTATTTGCTAATAAATTGTGGTTTTTAAAATCATTTGTTTTGTACCAAAAAGTCAATTTATATAAATTGTGTTACTATTATTATTTCTACCCCCTCCCCTTTCTAAGGAAGGAAACAATGACTAAAACCTGTTTTTGGCCTTACTGTCTTCCTTTTAAGTAAATGTATTTATCAGGTAGAAAATCTAGCAAATAAATACATAAATAATACAGCTGGAAGACTGCAATGATTTGGTGAATTGTTCATTTTTATAATATAGGCTCCCCTAAAATATTGATTGACCTTTATTTCTTTTCCAAGACTCTTTGTTATTTGTGCATGGGTATAATTATCTATGAGAAGTTTCCCTTTTCCTTTGAATATGGAATAATTCATTTTAATGACCTATATTTTAAATAATGTCTTACAAAATGGCTACCCATTGCAATTTCTGCTAATGCAGAGGATTATATTTATCTGTTTACCCATTTATGGTGTCATTGGGTGTACATAGAACATTCCATAGAACCATATAAGCCAACATGGCACTCCCCAAGGATTTTATACTTTCTGTGGGAACGTGCTCTTTTCAGCATTTCTTCATCACAGTTAAAAATTAGCATGCTGAGATTAGAACATTGATGTAAAAAAAAAACATAAAAGGAGCATCAAATAACAAAATAGTTTTAAATTTGGCTTGTATGTTGTTTTGCTTGATTTCCCATTGGGACTATATTTGTGTATATATGCGAGCATGAGCACATACTGACATGCATACAAAGACCAAAAGACAAACCGTATCCAAATTGTGAAAATGAAACTGACAGGAAAAGTATTCTATGTGGAAACAAATTATCTTCACAAAATTTGGCATTCCATGATGGTTGATGTCCTTTAATTGGAAGAAGCCAAATACAGCCCAAACACTCCTCCAGATCTAAGAACTGTTGAACTTTTATTTTGCTATATTGATCTATGGAGAGAAAAAAACAAATCTGAAATTTATGGCTAGGTAAAGTCTTTCCTAAATCATAATATGTTCCTTGTGTCATGTTCTCCATAGCCTCCATGATTACATGGACATAAGTCTCATTGAACTCAGTGAGCTTTGATTCCAGACAAATATGACAAAATCAGGCTGCACATTCTACTGCAGTGAACAAAGAATTCAGATTTCTTTTTATCTTGGGGAAAGAACATTTATTCTACATATAT